GTTCCAGTCTGCAGTGATGAAGGATGAGCTGCAGGTCTGTGAGTGTTCTTCCAGTCTGAAGAGATGAAGGATAAGCTGAACGTGAGTGTTGTTCCAGTCTGCAGTGATGAAGGATAAGCTGAACGTGAGTGTTGTTCCAGCCTGAAGTGATGAAGGATAAGCTGCAGGTCTGAGTGTTGTTCCAGTCTGCAGTGATGAAGGATAAGCTGAACGCGAGTGTTGTTCCAGTCTGCAGTGATGAAGGATAAGCTGAACGCGAATGTTGTTCCAGTCTGCAGTGATGAAGGATGCTCTGCAGGCCTGTGAGTGTTGTTCCAGCCTGAAGTGATGAAGGATGAGCTGCATGTCTGTGAGTGTTGTTCCGGTCTGCAGTGATGAAAGATGAGCTGCATGTCTGTGAGTGCTGTTCCGGTCTGCAGTGATGAAAGATGAGCTGCATGTCTGTGAGTGCTGTTCCGGTCTGCAGTGATGAAGGATGAGCTGCATGTCTGTGAGTGTTGTTCCGGTCTGCAGTGATGAAGGATGAGCTGACTGGTCCTGCCCTCCCCTGAGGTGTGGATCAGAACTGAAGGCTCCTCCCCGAGCTGTGAACATTCATCACGATTTGGGAAAATGTTCTGCAGAAATGAGGCCATGCAGATCTCGACCAGGTTTTCAGAGGCGTGGTTTTTGGACCTGGACTCAGGTCTGAAACGTGGAGGTTTCCTCGTCATAAATAATCCAGTCAGATTTTGGGTTTCTGATCAGAATTCCTTACTGGACACCTCCCTCTACAGGTCTTCCAGACACTGGAGACCACATTGGACCCAGAACTCTCTGGAAGGATTTTATCTCCTCTATAGTCTGGACCACCTTGTAGTCCTCTGGGTTTCCCTCCTGGACCAGATATCTCTGAGATCGGACCATGAACAAAGTACTGAGAGTACTCAGACTGGTCCCCTAGAGACTGGACCCCATGTTGGTACTGGGTCTGAAGTGGACCTGTGTGTATCCGTGTGTGTTTGAAGAGATAAATAAATCTTGTTCTTGTGTTTTCATGTTGGATGTAAATGTTTTTTAATTTTCTCCAAGTGAAGCTTCAGTGACTCCACCGGACTCTCGTTCAGTTGGAATCTCCAAACTGATGAACTTTGAACTGGTTCTCCTCAAACATCTAAACTAACAGCATCAGTTCACTTCAAAAAGCGTTCAATACAAAAAACTGGACTTTATTTGTAACAGAAGACGTTTCGCTCCTCATCCGAGGAGCTTCCTCAATTCAAAGAGCAGAGAGTGAGAGATACAGGTTATAAGGCTGAGTGAGATAAGACACACACACACATAAGACACACACACACACACACACACACATAAAACACACACACACATGTAGATTGGCAGTTCACACCTAAAACCTAAAACAGTAGGTCTTTGTTCCTCTAATTCACAGTCGAGGCCCCTCTGTTTCCATCAGGTGTGAAAACCGGCTGGGAATCAGTCCTAAAGTTGCATTATAGGTTTTAGAAAGTGGAAATCTGAGGCCTCCTCCTCTGTTAAGAGACGGCTTTTCTCTTTTTACATAAATTGCTTCCTTCACCCCCCTCTCAAACCATCTGTGTTCTCGGTCCAAAACGTGCACATGTTGGTCCTCAAAAGAGTGTCCCTTATCTGTGAGGTGGAGGTGAACAGCTGAGTCTTGTCATGTGGAGCTGGCTCTCCTGTGTTGAGTCATGCGTCTGTGAAGAGGCTGTTTAGTTTCTCCAATGTAGAGGTCTGGACAGTCCTCGCTGCACTGGACCACATACACTACACCACTCTGTTTGTGTATGGGTGTCTTGTCCTTAGGGTGGACCAGCCTCTGTCTGAGAGTCCTGCTGGGTTTGAAATGTACTGGGATCTTGTGTTTGTTGAAGATCCTTCTGAATTTCTCTGATACTCCAGCAACATAAGGGATGACAATGTTTTTACGTCTGTTGTTCTTTTTCTGTTTATTGGTGTGTTTTGTAGATTTCCTCGCTGACTTGACAAAAGCCCAGTTAGGATATCCACATGTTAGAAGAGCTTCTTGAATGTTTCAGTTCCTTTTCCTTCCCTTCTGTCTTCGTGGGGACGCGTTCGTCCCGATGTTGTAAAGTTCTGATGGCAGAGAGTTTGTGTTCCAGTGGATGGTGGGAGTCAAACAGAAGATACTGGTCTGTGTGGGTTGGTTTCCTGTACACTTCAATGTTGAGGCTGTCCTCTCTCTCCATCTGAACCAAACAGTCCAAAAAAGGCAGCTTGTTGTCGTTTGCATCCTCTCTGGTGAACTTGATGTTGTTATCGACCGAGTTAATGTGTCTGGTGAACGCTTCTATTTCCTTGGCTTGGATTTTGACCCAACGCTTTTTGAATTCATCATGTCCTGGATGACTGAGAATCTTCACCAGCATCAGTTCACGTTAGTTTAATAAGAAACAGAAACAGACTTTGTAAAAACCTTTAAACTGACCGTCAGGAGAAACCCCTCCAGAGCAAAGACAAGGTCAAAGGTCACTGCTGTGACAGACAGGAGGTCAGAACCAGGACATGAAGCAACAAAGACCTGCTCAGTGTTTCCACTAGATTCGTCGGGGTGGGGGGGCACGTCTGCTGCGCGGTGTTTGTTCCGACAGTTTGAGCGTCAGGGAAGAGGCAGCGTGAGTGCTGCCTTTAGCCTTTTAGCTAGTGCGCCTGTAGTTCAGCATCTTTATCGTCATTCTCATCACGTGTACTTGAGGTGTAATGAAATTAATACTCAGGGACCCAGTTACATCCAACAATATCAAAAATATAAAGTGTAAAAAAAGTTATACAAGGATCTAAGATATACGCTCAACAATTATAATGTAAAATAATACGGCATAACAACATCGGGAGTCTGTGGTGAACAGATGAGTATGAGATCATCAGCAGCACGAGATCAGCAGCAGCACGAGATCAGCAGCAGCATGAGATAATCAGCAGCACAGACAAGTCACATATCACCAATTAAAGTGTCACAGTGATTCTCCTGGTTAGAGATTCATGAGTCTAACAGCCTCAGGGTAGAAGCTGTTCCTCAGTCTAGTGGTTCTACACTTAATGCTCCTCAACCTCCTTCCTGAGGGGAGCGGGACAAAAAGTGTGTGTGCTGGGTGAGTGTGGTCCTTCATGACACAGGTGGCCCTCTTCCTGCATCTGGAGGTGTAGATGTCTGTGATGGTGGGGAGACTGACTCCACTGTATTGTGCACCACTGGCTTAGCGCTACATCAGTGCAGACGGGGGTGGGGGGCGCAGTTTGGTTCAGTAGGTGGGGCGCTCGGTTCTGTTGGCAGGGCGGGGTGCCCTTCTTGTATAATGGTAGAGGAAACACTGCTGCTAATGAGTACGCCTGTCATGATATTATTACTTTTTTTTTTTTACCAGGAAGAAATCTATTGAGATCATCAATCTCTTTTACAAGGATGTCCACGATAAAGTTTGCTGTGACTGTCTCAGAAATTATTGCGATAAACAATAATATTGATAGAAATTTGACATAATTAGTAATTATTGTGGGCAGCACGGTGGCGCAGCTGGTAGAGCTGCTGCCTCTCAGCGAGCAGGTCCCTGGTTCAAACCCCGGTCCAGGGGCCTTTCTGGGTGGAGTTTGCATGTTCTCTCCGTGCATGCGTGGGTTTTCTCCAGGTACTCCAGTTTCTTCCCACAGACCAAAAACATGCATGTTAGGCTGATTGGTAACTCTAAATTGTCTCTAGGTGTGAGTGAGAGAGTGAATGGTTGTTTGTCTCGTTTGTCTCTATGTGTCCCTGTGATGGACTGGAGACCTGTCCAGGGTGTACCCCGCCCCTCGCACAGTGATTGCTGGACATGGGCACCAGCGACCCCCGTGACCCAAAATGGAATAAGCGGGTAAAGAAAATGGATGGATGGTCAAATTAGCTGCATTTTGCCGGGGCGGTGCAGCTGGTTTGACTTGCACCAAGCAGCGAACAGAACCAAGGTGGGGGGGACTTTGGCAATAACTGGTGAAAATTCTCAGTCATCCAGGACATGGTCAATTAAAAAAGTTCAAGACAAAAACAATAAAGTATCAACAATAATAAATAAAGTCCAGTTGTTTTTGTCTTGAACTTTTTTGAATTTATCATTATAGCCATGTTTACCTATCAATCAATTCAAAAAAACTTTATTAATCCCAGAGGGAAATTATTTGTTGTTGTAACTCGTTATCCTCATTTCATTAAGAGATGTTATAGATGCTGATGCTGCAGACAGGAAGGATCTCTGGTAAAGGTCCATCCCACAGTGGATCCTAAGAAACTGGCTGCAGATGCCGTCCGATCCGTCCACCCAGACTCGGCTGGCCTCTTGGTTCCTCCGGGCTGTAGGACCTCCTGAATGCAGAGCAGAACTCCTCCCAGAGCGATGGCCACTCCTCCCAGCAGTCTGCCGAGCTCCTCGTCGCTGTGGACAGACAACTGTAGGTGCCGAGGGACGATCCTGTCCTGAGCCGTGTTTCCTGCTAGTTCCAGGATCTCAGTTGTCAGGCACTCGAGCACAGCTGGCAGGTAGATGGGAATGCGTCCACAGAACATCCTTTTCAACTCATTTGAGATTTAAGGCTGTAGTTGAGATATTATTTGAGCTTTTGAGATGTTAATCAGCTGTTGGTTGTAGAAAACTGCCTTGTTGCCATGGTTACGCATCATAACAAATGTCCCAAACTAAAAAAGTTTCAGTAAAAATCCTTCCAGCTGCACAACATCTGATACCAGAGGAAACAATCATCCAAAAAATGTGATTTACATCCAGAAAAAGAGGAATTAAAGTTTCCAAAAGAATTAATCTCAGAATGAAAGAGAGCTGCTCCAACATGCAGACACCTGGAGCGGAGCAGTTCTAGAACTCTCATGATATTACATGATACAATGGCATGCCATATTGCTACACTTCTGCCATCTAGTGGCTGAAAATGGTACTGTTCTGTTTTCTTCCCCAATCAGAATGAATGAGAATGGTCATATCTCAGCCAAAAATTGGTTTATGAATATAGAAAAAAATCCATAAATACGTGGCTTCAGCCTATAAAGTCGCAGGGCATGCAAATTATGCAAAAAACCATGACTTATAGGCCGTAAAATACGATACTCACTTTGCAGAGGAGACGATGAGCGATGAGTCTTTGTAGGCGATCAAATAACTCTGGTTCTCCGGGTTGTGAACCGTCACCTGCAGGAAGACACTCCGTCAGCTGCTTGAGCATTGATTTCATTATTCAGAAGTAGCCAGGGATAACTACGAAGATCATTGTGGTTCACGTCATTCACAATGAAAACCTTAGTAAACCCTGGTATGCATCGCTTTTGATGATAATGTTTGGTCCTGAAGATGTCACGTCTAATGACCGAGTGAAAAGCACCGCTGGTCCTGTTCAGAGTTAAGTCCTCCAGGTCAGGATGTTTGTCCTGTGTGTGTGATGCACGTACACTCTCCAGCACCCGTAAACACCTCTCGGCTCCCCACAGCGACGACACCAGCTTCTCCTTCTCGTCCTCCTGGCTCAAGTTGTCCACACACTCCTTCACTGTGGAGACAGAAGCATCCGAACAGGGTTAGCACCCAGAAACCCAGAGCATCTCCCCGTCTCTCTGTGAGTAAACACCTTTATCCACGATGTGGTCCAGTCCTCCCAGCAGCCTCAGCTCCTCTTTGAACCAGTCTCCTGCTCGCTTGGAGGTGAGAGACAGCAGCGTCTCCATGGCTAAATGTCCCGTCTGCGCACAGAGAGGGACCAGGTGAGGGTTTTATTTTGGTGAATGGACACCTGTTGACTGAGGAGCAGCTTGACTTTATATTTATATGTTATAAACTTTGAAGCTGCTTTATTCATAGCCATCTGCTCACTACAGACTCATGTTCAGGCTGCTGTTTAATACACTGAATTATATTATTACTGTTTAGCGTAGAGCTTAGATCCTTGTATACTTATATATACATATATACCTTGTTTCTTTTTATACTTTATGTTTGCTGTTGTTGGGTGTAACTGGAACCCTGAGAACTAATTTTGTTCCACCTCATGTACCACATGTGATGTGAATGACAATAAAGAACCTTGAACCTTGATATCTCAGTCCTAAAAACAAACGGTAAACATAAATGGATGCAATGTACCGGCTGCTGAGACAGAACCTACAACCAGTACCGTTATGTTCTGCAGGTCCAGATGCTTGTTGTGCACGGTGTCGCACAGCTTCCTGATCTTCTCCTTTATTTTGGCCAGTTCTCTGGCACTGAACTGAACGCAGGAGTCTGCCCCTGCCCCACCTCCCTGGTCCAGGTCCAGTTCTAGCAGCCGTATCATCAAGTCCAGGCAGGACCGGTCCAGGTCCATATTCAGCCTGTCTCTACTCAGGATGTACATGAGAGACGCAGTGCACAGAGCCAAGTTCTGCAGAGTGGAAAGGACACGGTTAGTCTAAAGAAGGTCATCGTGTGTGTAAGGACAGGTGGACAGAGGACAGAGGAACAAAAGACAGAGGACAGGTGGAGGACCTCTTCACTCCTCCCTCCACTACAGTCCAGTTAGAAGACGTTGAGTCAGACATAAACAGAAAGCGATGATGTGCAAGTCTCATGCATCTGTCTTCACAGTGGAAGACAGAAAAGGTGGGACTAAGAACTGGTCCACTGGTTGTTACCGGGTGTTGGGGGGCGTCGTTCAGAGTCTTGAAGACCTGAGCCACCTTCCCTCTGGCCCTGAGGTGCATCCTGAAGCTGGGCATGGCGCAGCGAGTGGCCAGGCTGATCACACTGAGGAAACAAACGCAGCAGCTTCACGTCATGAAGCAGGAGGGAGGAACACAGACCCCCCACCCCCCACACCCCCACCCCCTGATGGTGCTGTTCTAACCTGAGGCATCGAGTGTTTAGTGGCTGTCCAGTCTTCAAACCAGTAGCAAGGTACTCAAAGTCATCCGTGAACTCCTGGTTCTCTCCAAACTCCACCACATCGTTGAAGTGCTTCACGTGCTGGACGACCGTGTACAGCTAGAAAACATGGAGGGGAGGGGGGGGTGTCACTGAGGGACAAACAAGGCTGGTAGGACTGGTAGAACTGGTAGGACTGGTAGAACTGCAGGGAGACCGGCAGTCTTTAAGCCCAAACACAGAGAGGCAGCAGATTTCAACTAGCAGCGAAGCTTTACATCAGGTGTCCACTTTCTGCTGGACTCAGAACAACGTCCATTCGGGTCAGAACACACAGCTCCAGAAACATTTACCTCCTTGTGCTCCTTGTGACACTTGAGTGCAGTGACGGTGTCCTGGCAGGGATCTGTGGGGACGGTGACACACTTTGTGACTTTGGGAGGAGGTGGAGGAGCCTTAAAGACGCCGTCGTCCTTCTGAGAGTCCGTGGCCTCTTTACTGACGCCCCCGGTGGAGACCGACACCTGGAGAGATGGAGAAACGCTCAAGTGAGACTCGTGGCGGGACCTTCATGGACCTGAAGCCGTGCAGTTTGAGGTCTTACAGGAGCTGCGTGCGGTCGACAGAGGAAGGGCGGCGGGGGCTCCTCTTCGCCCCCCACGGTCCAGTGTCTGGCGTTGTACACAGCTTTGGTGGGAGACTGAAAGACAGAAAAGAGCCGTCTGAAGCTGCCTGAGCCCAGCGGTCAGAACAGAACCGGACTTTCTGCAGTTGTTCCGTCTGAAGCAGCAAGCTCCGGGGTGTTGATGGAACCACAACTGACTGACCACAGCAAACAAGCGCGGCTACGTGTCGGCCATTTTGACAGACACTGAGCTAAGATTTAGTGTGGTAGTAGCTGAGAGTCATCTTCAACACAATCGATAAAACCTCCGTTTCAAAGTTTGGCATGAAATGAAGCAGGTGACACGCCTTCCTTCAAGAAATGCTACTCTGACACCAGTGATTATTAATGAAGTGCAAGTGCCTGACATGGTGTTCAACCGTCCATCGGCTGTATTTATCGCAGTGTCCGTCTCAGGACCGTCACGAAAGTATAAAGCTAAACAAGTAGAATCATAGGACGAACAGAAAGCGTGGAATGAAGCAGAAAGGAGGAACTTGGAGCGCACACACGCGCGCACACACACGATGGCAAAGCTGCGGTTGGCGGGAGCTGCTGGTGGAAAACAGAAGATGGACAGAGTAAAGAGGAGCTCCACAGGGTTAATAAGCAGAAACAAAAGGAGTGTTGGCAGATGAGCTCTGGAGCTGGAACATCTACAGCAAATTAAAGGCGACCACAGTAAAGTGAAGGACAGGCCCCACCCGGCACCCCCCCCCCCCCTGCTGCTGAGCAGCACGGCTCAGATAAAGAGCAGGCAGGAAGGTGGGCAAACCCCCCAAATAAAGGAAAAAGAACCACAGTTGGCTCAGAACTGGGTGGAACTGCAGAGAACGACTCCACTGCCAACACAGAACTCAGATCCAAAAAGTGATGAGATGACGGCTCGCCGTGAAGGAACAAAGCAGCCAGGAAGACAAAAATCCACTTAGGACGCTCCGAACTTCTAACACTTGAACAAGTTTGCTTCTGCTTAATGAGTGCACTCTGTGGATCTAAGAACTTCTGTCTTCAGGCTCCTCACTCAATAAGATGACACCTCTTAGGTTCTGTTGGACCACAGACGGAGGTTGTAGTGACTGCAGTGAACATCTAAAGGTGACTGTTCTCATGACGAGCTCAGCTCTGCTCTCAGTCACACTGAAGCCCCCAGTGTACTGCCACGTGCGCACGCGCAGAGGTACGCACGCGCAGAGGTACGCACGCAACTGCGTGCACATGCAGAGGTACTAT